ATATTTATTCTTATTGGAAAAAAGTTTATTAAAATGTTTCTTTTTTTAACCAGTTCTTGGTGTCGATGAAACTTTGTTATTGGCATTAAAGAAGACACGTACACGATCCGATCGGAAATCCTTTGTTACTGCTGAACCTTCTTCTAATCGAATTACATTCAAACCTATAAAATACGCACATTTTCAACGTTAAAACTTAAACAAAAGATTATTATTTTTTTTCTTACTTGGATTTTTACTTTTAATTGCCGCAACAGCTTCATCAACTGGCTTACCAACCAGATCAGACCACGATTGATCACTTGACATATTTACGTACTGTAAATGATATAAAATGGTAATTTTGTCTACACGAACCACGTTCTTTATATATGGATGATCAATAAAAAAAAAAAAAATTTTTTTCTTTACATATATAATATTACGTATTTGTAGTGATGGCTCAAAGCAGTCAACATTGGGAGAGAGAGAATGTCTAGGCTTTTTGTAAAGGAAGAGTATCCTTCCTCAAGCAGAACGCAAAAAAGCAAAAATCAGCTCGGATGAGAAAAAATATGAAAGCCCCATGATTGGAGGAAGAGGTGTTACACTTTCGACAGTCTCCGATCGAAATATATTCACTATCAAATGACTATTTGTGACGATTTTAGATAGAAGAAGAGTTAGCGCTGATGGAACTACGCTTTATTATATTTCTTCTTGTCAAGAATCGTACTGCTTCCATACAAAACATATGCTTATGTACTTTTCCATCAGAGAGAAGGAAAGAATGATAAGAACAGAAAATAACATAAGACCATATATGGGAAGAAAGCGTCGCTCCCCGATTCGTCCCATCTCAAATTCGTCCCATTCTAATTGATTCCTAACTCGTCGTTTTCTCAATTCGTCCCCGATCCAAATTGGTCCCTTTCTTAATTCGTCCCTAATTTTATTTGAAAGTGGCAATCATAGCAGCATCTTGTGGACGATAAGTATACTAACTATATTACCTTATATCTCATTGGACATCTGCGGTACAAACAAAGCTTGGAAAATAGCAAGATACAATGAAACTTTCTTTTATCATACTGGTAAATTAATTAACTATTGTGTTTAACTTCACGCATGGCGAGCGTTCGAAGCCTGTCTTGAACTTCGAAGGATGTCAATACACAGAAAAGAGAAAATAAGACAACGAACAAATGGTGATGCCGAGCTCGGTGTTGTTCAAGTTCTCTTTCAACATGTTCAAAAGATCTAACAATCATTCGTTCCCATCTGCTCATGCTTGTCAGTCAATTAGCGATACGAAAAGTGACATTCACGAGAGCGTTATCAGGAAGAAAAGAGCTCGTGAAGAAACTGTTCCAATTTCACAGATTTACTTTCAAGAAATTGTGAAAGCACACATTAACGTTCAGTTGACCCGGTTACTCGGACATCATGTAAAAAGGAAAATATTTGATTTATAATTAGCAATAAGCTGTGGCAAAGCTAGTACGATAAAACCGATCAAGAAATAGAACAATAAATACACTAATAGCTTCAATATAATCTTGTCTCCCTTTGATAATAAATAGTTCTCCCTTTACAACATAAGCTTTTGACTGATAGACAATTAGGAACGAGTTAGGAGTGACTGAAAAATGAGAAAGCGACGAATTAGGAAAAATTCAGAGTGGGACGAATAGGGAATGGGACCAACCAGGGACGAATCGGGGGTAAACCGGAAGAAAGAGATATAAGGACAAAGTATAAGGACGAAAATATCAGAACAATACGGTCATTATGCCATACAGTGCAGAGATGTGCGGTCCACGGGGTTCACCCCGCGGGCCCCGCGGGGCCACGTGGCGACGGGCGGGCGGGGAAGAAAAATTTAATTAAACGCGGGATTAACGGGGCGCGGGTATTTTCCGGCACACGGGCGGGCGGGGCGGGTAATCATTTTTTTAAATGACACGGGTCTCGGGCGGAGCGGGTATGAAATACATGGGTTCGGGCGGGTAAACATTTTTTTTCGGGTGTGATGAAAGATCGTCAAAACTTATCACGGGATGTCCTTAGTATAGGTATGTAGTACAAAGTACATATTGATTGGTTCATTACTTTCATCCTATTATGTACAAGATTGTCTACCATTTGTTTGTTTCTTTCTTTATCGTCTGTCATACGCAACTTCTACTATCAATTTATATTAAGTGAATAACTGGACTAAAACTTATTCTATATTTAGAATTATCGTTTGAATTTTTTTGTGAATTACTACTTAGGTCAGACCAAAAGTTCTGACAACATTATATAAAAATATAAAGATAAGGAGATATCTTTAATTTTATTTTATCAAATTTTGAGGACAGTTGCCATGATTATTTATACCAAGTTTGATCCTTTCCAACGATTAGTTAAAAGTTTTTTGAAGTTTTTTCGAAAAAATTTTAGGTATCATGGATACCGCATGAGCTAATCATATTTCATTTATTGTGAAAAGTTAGCAAAATCTTGTTCGATCATATCTGTTGCATTCTAGTACTACTAGTGATGAGATATAGATTTATTTTAGATAGGTTAGTCATAAGTTATCCGATGCTGGCTGGCTTATTGAAGATGAATCGTCAAAGACTATTGTTCATGAATAAAGATTTTAGAAAATGCTTTGTTTGGTATATTTTTTAAATCAAATACTCCTGAATGTAGATAAAGGCAAGACTGTAAGTCACAAGTATTAGGCTGAACGCTCTCCAAAACATTTTATTAATCAAATATGGAAACAAACAGAGACATCAGGTTCATAATGTACAAAATTGCTTGACGGTCATCGTTGACTTCATACTCATCTAATGTTATTAATTGCATGACAGAAGAAGGCATCAATATAATATCATATCTATCATATTCGCCAGGCCTGATACTATGTAACTTTTCGCTAACTAATTCTATTAAATGTAGTTTAACTGATTAAATAAATGAAACATGATAAGCTCGTGCGATATCTAAAAATTTTTTCGAAAAAAACTTTTAACAAATTGTTGGAAAGGTTCGAACTTGGTATAAATAATCATGGCAACTGTCCTCAATATTTGATAAAATAAAATTAAAGCTGCCTACTTACCTTTATATTTTTATATAATGTTGCCAGAACTTTTGGTCAGACCTAAGTATCATCGAATTACATGATTTATCTCCTGATGAATCACTTAATAGGACAGCTTCGTCGAATACTGATCGTTCATCTACAATTATTTCTTCATTTCTCAGTCATTGCTCATCGAGTAATATTAAATGTAATTCGTCAAATATAAAAATGTTTTTAAGAGAACAACCACAAAAAGACGTGCTTGTCGACAATCACAAAGTGAATCATTCAAAACCATCTCATATAGACTTGAGTTTTGTTTTTGTAAAAAATGACTTTTCATAAAAGGAATGCATCATTAAAAATAAAGTATCTGGTAAATAAAAAATTTCTTCGGGTTACACGGGGACGGGTCGGGGCCCGTCACAAAAATGGCGGGTCGGGCGGACTGGTCCAAGAAGCTGCCTGTGCGGGGTACGGGCGAAGCGGGTATAGATTTGCCGGGGTACAGGCGGGGCGGGGATTCTCAAAAAGAATAACCACGGGGTTCGGACGGGACGGGTTTGTGAATTTTACGGGGCGGGCCCCGCGGGGGATGGAAAATCAATGCCCCGCACATCTCTGATACAGTGTACTCAAGCGGGAGCGTTCCACTATTGTCATACAGAAATTTGTCAGTTCTGTTTTTTTACTATAAACGTCGTCGTAGATTTTCAATAATATCAGTGATATAAAAGAATTTCAAAATATAATGGTGAGTTCTATATTAAGTTATTGTTTAGATTTCAAAAAAATGATTTATTCTTATTTAAAAAAAAGAAGATTCAATAGATATAACTGAAAGAAATTATCATGAAGAAATTTTTGATCTTAATAAATTAAAGAAACAAGAAATTGTTAACGAACGAAGTATTGAAATGTAAATTTTAGTGTATTGTGCATCTATATGAGATTAGTAAGTGAAATAAACAGTATAGAATCAATCATTTCTTTTTAATCATATATCATAAAATATGAATAATTTTTAAAATTTATCCAATGTTATCAAATAAATATATGGGTCAATTTTCAACTTAAAACAGTAATGATTATACAAAGTATTTCTAATCTGTCGTTTCATTTGTTTTTTTTTAA